TGAAGTAAGCCTAAAAGCGTTTAACTAGAAATAGTATTTCGAAAGTTATTAAGCACAAAAGATGAATTGCGTTTATTTTGATACACCCTGTATAACTGTCTTACCTCGCAGGTACAAGGGTTCAATTACTACCCTTTGTTTATCCACTCTCAACTCTCGAGAAAAAGAGAAAACGTGCTCGAATGGAGTTCGTTTATACAACCGCGCGTTGCATGTTGGTATAAAACGACTTTCAACCAACATGCTTTGCGGCTCTAGCAAGATGGAGATTTTGAGTAGCTGTACGATTTTAATCTGCTGCCTTACTCGCTCGCTTAATGCTAGCTCGCTGCGGCAGCAACAAGCACATTTGACCTCTTGGAATAAAAAGAGGCTACTAATTTTAAGAATCGTCGCCAGAGGCCTTTAATACACTAGTAATTACGTTCTCTATCCTGCAATGCACTACTTCAGCATTAATACTGTATTGGAGGGAGTCACTAATCCACCTCATTCCCAAACATTCGGAATGTTTTCTAACATGGGTTTTCTTTGTCAAATTTTTAGCTTATGTTTTTACCAACCTTGGAAAAGAAGGACCCGAGGGACCTGCAAACACGAGTGGTTACCTAGGAACGACTCTAGAAGGCCAGGTTACGTTGAATGCTGGAATCCAGATGTGGCAAGTACCATACACAGGTACTTACATAATCGAGTCACGTGGTGCAGCTGGTGCAAACGGCACTTTTCAGAACAGGTTGGGAAAGGGCTCCGCTGGCACATTGAAGCGTGGAGGCTTGGGAGCAAAAATAAGCGGAAAATTTTGGCTTACTCATGGGACCTTGTTGAAAATTCTTGTGGGCCAGCGTGGAATGATAGGTACATATGGTTGTAGACGTGGACATATACATAAACAGCTTTTTTTCCGTGCTGGTGGGGGAGGTGGAGGGTCTTTTGTAACATACGTGAATAATACCCCCCTTGTTATTGCTGGTGGTGGTGGTGGTGGCGGCAGCAGCTGCTGTGGTGCATGCGTTGGGATTGCAGATAAATCTGATGGTGATTCGGGACAGTTAGGGGTATTAGGGAGCAGATGTAACAGTACGGTAGGAAATGGGGGCATGCTATGTTCTAATGAAAAGGGATACACGACCGAGGCTGGAAGTGGAGCTGGGTTGCTAAGCGACGGTAGTACTTCGTGGTTTTCTCCTGCTAGGTGTTTTGTCGACGGAGGGAGAGGTGGTAGTGGTAGCGCTGACGGAGGGTTTGGTGGTGGTGGTGGTTGCGGTTGGGGACACGGAGGGGGAGGGGGAGGATATACCGGGGGAGGTGTG